GGGGGGCGTGGTCGCGCACAGTGACAGATTTGACAGTTGCAGAGGCTATGCGTTAGAAGCATAAATTGGCCTTTAGGCTTAACTTTTGTCACTTATTTTCCTCCATAATTTACAGATGATTATTTAAAAATCACACAATTAAATTGTTTTTTTTTCCTCATTTTATCTCATAGTTGAAGTGCACCTATAATGAAAATTACAGACCTCTCTCATCTTTATACGTAGGAGAACTTGGACAATCAGTGGCTAACTAAATTTTTTATTGCCTCACTGGAATTGCAATGTTTCTTCACTGTGATTGGCTGCTTCGCCATTTGTGTTACCAATGTTATACAACAGGAGCATCTAATAAAGTGGTCGCTCTTATTTAGCAAGACAATAGTCATATTTATAATAAGAAAACAGTCACTTGGAAAATACTCTAATGTGAAATGTGTTTCGAGTTGGATCTTTATTAATAAACTACATCAAATCAGTTTGCAGTTTTTTTTTTTTCAAATCAGAACAGAAACAAACCACAGGAAACTGCATCTTACTGGATATGTTAAGGAAGAGATCAGCTTCATTTTAATGCTTAGAAAGTTGGCATCAGTTCAGATTCACTGACTTATCCTCCCTTTGTCTAACCGGACAGATCATACAAATGTATAACGGTAATATCCTTCCAGACACTTCCTGTTACAACCTAACTACAGGTAGAAATAGATGCATAATGATGCATTCCTTTTTTCCAAGTTTATCCAGATCTAAGCATTATCTTCATGACAAATATGAATATCCACATAATTACTAGTTTACGATAAGCTTCCGAAAATATTTCTCCAGTTTTCTTAATCTCAGGACAGTAGCTTTGCTACCAGTGCCGCTTTTTCCTGGTGGGACAGATGAGACTCCCTCCAACTTCCACTGCTTCTTGTGCATTTCATTTTAATTACAGTCACATTCCTGGTTTTAAAATGCACATTAAGTGCACAAGAAGACTCTGAGTTCTACAAAATAGTTGTGAAACAGACACGCTGAAACAAATGTACTTGCTGAAACCAATAATCAAAGACAGAGCTAAGGTAAAGTCACAAACGGGGAAGATTACTTTGAACAGCTGATCATAAGTGACATTAATCCACCCCCATCGTGCATCCCTTTAATATCAGTGTAGCTGTGCAGACTTGCATCATGTTCAAAGGAATACCAACATTTCACCAGGTTCAATTTAGCTCTGGGACACAGTAACACAGATACTGATCCTAGTTTTGCTTTAATCAAATGCAAAATGACTAGAAAATCAGGTTTTTTAAATTAATTATGAATAACATCAGAGAAACAGAGCAGGAACATGGTCTGTGGAGAGATGCAGGATTGTCAGATTAGGAATGAAAGGGAGCAATCAGATATCAGGTGTTCAATCAAAGTTGTGCAATTTTTAACACAGTTTGTTGGTTTATAAATGCAATGCGACACCTTGCTAGGCTTGTAGGACATTGCACAGCCTCAGGTGACCTGAGCTAGTACTGCACTATAACAATGTGTCAAAGGGTGTGGGCCACTTGGCTATTTCATCATCTCATACTTGTGTAGTTTTAATCTTTTTACACTCACATTTTAGCCTCCTATGCTGCATTTTATTCCCAACACCCTCCAGAATGACAAAGGATGTTTTAGTATCAGTTTCTGTGGTTTAATCACAAACCACTGGAAAGAAAAGGGATAAAAAAAATTGGCCCCATCTTATAAGAGTCACATCCTAATCAACAGGCAAACAAGTCAGAAATGGTCTTAAGCCATTAGTTGCCTGGTCAGTGGAAGAAAAATATTCTGAAATTTCCAGGAGGCAACCTACTGAGGCACATGGCTGTTCTTTGTATATCAGTGATTTACAAAATCGACAAAAGCATAACAATTAGAAAACTAAGGAGTTGGTACATGCCTACGCGCCTCGGCAGGAATTTTTTTTTTTTTTAGACAACTTCTGCAACTCCTTTAGGTTTTACAACAAATGGCTAATAGGCAACTTTAAGTTTTGGACGCAAGCTGCTACTATAAACAATCCACCGACAACATATCAAAGTGTACATCAGAGGACATTTTTAAGAGCATATTCACACCAAAGTGTTCTCTGAGTTACATGTTTGGTCCAGATAGGAAGCAGTTTTTTTTTTTTTTTTTTTTAGGGCAGTTTGCTTTCACATTGTACTTTTTGCAAGTCAACAAAGCCCCACCTTAACAAAAACTGAGTAAGAGAATAAAAATCAGACCTATAAAAAGGAGGAAAACAGTCTAGGAAGTTTCAAATGCTGCAGTTTTAAGGTAAAAATCAGCTCATTCAACTTCATTTCCATGTATGGAACTGGTCTGAGAAAGCTATGAGTGAAGGAGACTGGGTCCACTGGCACACAGCATGCTAGCAGCAGCACTGCTAAGCTAAATGCACATCAGGAATAGTTTCAGTACATTTATCCTCACTACAGTGGTTCCTTAAAGCCGGGGTTACACTGTCCGATTCTCCAGTCGTGCGAGAATATTTAAATTGGGCCGATTTTTAGCCTGACCGTGGATTGTGTAGTGTACAGGGGGTAACGAGGGGTGATCAGACTCTCACAAGCACCTCCGGATCAGGAATCGTAAGGTCGGGAGAAAATCAAAGATGTTTGAAATTCTGTCGGCCATGGTGGGTAAATAGTACAGTGGGCATGCACAAACAAGGATTCTTCTTCCTCTCAGATAAAAACACAGAAGCATGGCAGGGGTGCGAGTGGAATGGAGTTCTTTCTGTAAAATTAACAGGCTCTAGTAGCCACGTTTGCTCAGCCATGTCTTTGTCCAAATAAATCGTCACCTTTTCTTTTTAGGGCTTTCAGCACAAAAATGCACAAATTGCCAAGGCGATTTTTGTTTTCACTCTAGCAAGCTTCATATTGATCTTCTACTCGTTTGGCTTCCGGATAGACGAGTCCGTGTAGTGCCGTCTCACTGCAGAGCTGAGTCCGATGTGGTTTTTAGACGTACAGTGTGAGCAGGTAGATGGCATCAGATCGCACAGTGGAAGAACATACATTGGGAGCTGTGAACTCACACTGTACGACGAAACCACAGGGTGTCATCGATAGGGCTGGGTATTTTCGCCAAAGTCATGAATCGATTGGATTTTGATTCATACAGTTCTAAATCGATTAATTTCGATTCGATCCGTTTGTACCATAATGAAAGTGGTTCAACTGTGTTCCAAAATACTCATGTATTTTATTTTTTTCCTGTCAGACTAAACACAAAGTGCAAACTTGTTTAAACAGTTTAAACTTGAGATGTGAACAAAACTGTCTCAAAAGTGCAAACTTGTTTGTGAAAAGTGAAGCCTCACTCGAGCGAGCAGACGTGACACAGAAGACATGCATGAGCTGCATTATCTTCAATGCACAAACCATATTTGCAGTGTTGTCTGTAACAACTACAGGGTGTTTGCCGGTCAGCCCCAATATTTTAATGTCTTCAGTCAACATATTGGCTATATTTGCAGCTGTCTGGCTTGAAGTAATCTTGACTTGAGTGCATCTTTCCTGCTCATTTGAATGTGAACATCACGCGCGTCACTATAAAACTAATCAATCTCATTTGCTAGACATCGATTTTGCAAAAATGAAAAGTAATCGATTCAAAATCGATTAAATCGATCTTTTTACCGAGCCCTATTCCTCGTCGATCAGTTTTAGCTGTGGCTTTGTGCAACGATTGAAAAACATCACACAGTGTATGCCCGGCTTCAGTCTAGAAAGGAGCATGTTTCCTGTTGTTGGGATGAATAACGGCCTCAAAAAGTAGGTCCCAGTCTGGTTATCTGTTTTCAGTCAGGAATAGAGTTTGATTGAGTGTGTTCATACTCAAATAAATAAATGACTTTGAAAAAAAGCTGTATAGTTTTACATTATATCACGAAAAACCTTCTCTGTAGAGCAGAAGTATACATATCCTCTGCTCAACCCAAATACAAAACTCCATGCAGAAACAAGCCTTTCGTAAAGCTTCATAAAAGTTACTTTCACAAAAGTTTATAACTAAATATCTTCACAATGTTCAACCATAGCTCCACTAGCAGTTCTTTATATTGTCCATTGCTTAATAAGACATGGTGCAGGTCAAGGTCATGATGCTGGTGAGAGTAATTTATGGTCTTAATGGATGAAAGAAAACAAACTAAAATGGATTATCTAAACAGGCAGTTATTCAAAGATATTATGGCAACACCTTGTAGATAAACTAATATACATAAAATTTCAGCTATGAAAATTTAGAGATCAGCTTTTCAAAGGTTTGAATTACGGTAGTAGTATGTAAAAAGATAAATAGTTGAAAGGATAAAATTATTTAGTAGCCATTCATAGTTAAGATAACTACAGATATTCAAAATAATTTCATCCAACCGTTTGAATCTGGATTTATCTCACTTCATACCCACAACAACTAGTGTGGCGGCACTTATTAAGTGTTTACCTTCATCGTTAAGCATCATAAAGTCAAACACTGGGCCAATTAATCTGTTTATTGCTTAGTATGTCGAAATGCTCACTTTACAGACCAAAAAAACCTGTTCTTTTTCCAATAAAATTACCGTTAAAAAATCGTTAAATATGTCCTCGACTATTCGCTCCCTGCTTGCATCGGTTTAACAGTTTTGCTCCCAAAGTGAAGACGTGTAGCTAGCATTTAGCACCGCAGCCAAAACACGGCCTTTCTTGGCTCCAAACTGATGAGCTCCCAGCGAGAATAGCTGGCTGGCTGGTGAACGTTAGCAGGCTAGCTGGCTCGGCTAGCTTCGCCGAAACAAAACGGGCCTGAATTTTTGCCACCATGTTTAGGCACATATAAATCATGTGACATCTTGTTCCTATGAGTGCATGGAGTTAAAACATTCGTGGTCGTACTACTGGTTTGTAGAAGGGTGCTCGTGTCGGTGGCTTTGCGACGAAAAAAGCAGCTAAAGGGGCTAAAAATGGGAAGTCAACACTTACCTAGCTTTACTTTCTACGCCATCTTGGATCCACTTGTCAGACGATCGCAAAGCATAGTGGGATGTGCTGATCTGAAGGTTGTGGGGGATTTGCTGCACAACTGACACAGTTTTTTTGGCCTTTTTTAAAAAAAAAAAAACAAATGCTATTTTTAATTGAAATATAAGGAAGAGGATTAGGGCCACTGAAGAAATAAAAAAAGTTAACTGATTTTTAAATATTGTTTCAGGTTAATATGGGGGGGGGAATGGTCTTGAAAAATACTTTTTTTCCCTCAGAATTCAGATTTTATCTCAGAATTCTGACTTTAGAATTCGGACTGTAATCTCAGAATTCTGACTTTATCTCAGAATTCTGAGTGTAATCTCAGAATTCTGA